CACACACACACACGCACACACAAACACTCCGTTCACACAGATGGATGTGGCTAGGGTCAGGATTGTACTAGCAGTCATGCCACTGGGTATCCATGGCCGAGTGAGTGTGTAGTGTGGGTTTTGAGGTTGTGATAGACTACCGTCTTCACCCGAATCGAACACCCGGTCATTAGTGCTGCATCTGGACTGAAAGTTGGGCCAAATGCAGCTATAATGACCGGGCGTTCTATTCGGGTGAAGACGGTGGTTTCTCAGACTTAGTGCCATTCTTCTCAGGGGTTTGGACCAACTGTCTGCTAGGATTGCAGGGTTGGTGTGAGTAGGGTTTACCACTTTTCATGGGGGTGTCACTTACTCCGCAGGCAACGTGGTGAGTCCTTATCCATCGGTCAAACGCATCCTGGGCAGACTGTAGGGTTTCAATCTCACGACGAGTTGGTGTAAATCTGACGAAAGTCACGGAACAGTCTGGCACATTCATGCTTTTCTTTTGGAGTTGCGTATGGCGAACACTCCAACAAAGTAAACACACACACACACACACACACACACACACACACACATACACACACACACACACAGTGCTTAACAAAAAGCAAAGAGTTCAGAATGGCGGATGCAAATAGATGTAGAATGGCAAGTTGAGCAGTGATATCAATAAAAGCTTACTGATGCATTGAAGGGTGTTGCCCGCACTGCCAATCGTAGTCGACACATATCCGGCCGTGCAGTTGCAATCATAGTAACCCAGTTGGTTCACACAAAGCCCGTAGGTACCACAAGGATTGATAGGTCCAGCACATTCATTCACATCTGTAAGACAAGAAAACAAGAAGCCATGAACAGCAGAAGAGAGCTCAAGAGTAAGATATTACTCAGAATCATTCATTTCTGTAAGATAAGATGCCATTATGTTACTATCATCTAATGATAATGCTTTTTTCATTCCAGGAGGTACCTTCAAAAAAGCCATGATCCAGAATCATGTACGTCTTCTCAGTCTTTGTTACAGTCTGCGACTTCACACGGGCCTTCACAGGCTCGACACACCGGTTCAGGTGGACCCAGGCCGGCCTAGCCAAAGGCCAGGCCTTTTTCTCCCGGTAGGCCCTATTAGGCCACCGGTTGGACCTCGGTATTCAGCAGACCCAGGTCTGGCCCAAACAACAAATCGTTTGGGCCTGGCGGCGCTCTTGAGGCTGCCGCCCGCCGGTCTAGGCTGAACGGCTATTTTCGACGGTTCAGCCCACGGCGCAGGAGGCCAGCATTGAGGCCGACCGGCCGCCCGACGGTACTTAGGCCGGCCCAGTGGCCATTCCTGCATTCTGGAGCAGCAGCCCTTGGAGAAAACGCTGCGCTATTCTGTTTAGGGCGCAGCGCTACTGCAGTAGCGTGAGGTTAGCGCTAGACTGCAGTTCGGGATAGAGAGCAGCGAGAGACTTACCTGGTACTTACCTGTGGCGCCATAGCTTCCGCGGACTTCGACTGCAGAAGGCTTCAAGGCACCACCTTGCACCTTGCAGGAAGGGTTTCGGACCAGGACAGGGTAACGAGGACACTCCTCCTCCCCACCTTGCCATCTCTCCCTCCTCCTCTGCTATCTCCTCCTCTTCTCCATCTCCATCTTCTTCTTCAGATTTCTTCATCTTCTTCTTGGGACTTCTTCTTCTTCTCCTTCAGACTTCTTCCTCTTCTTCTTCAGATTGGAGACTTGATACGAGTTGGACAGAGGTCAGTGTTGGACTTCCGTGGTAAGAGGCTGTGATACTTACCGGATTCGAGACTTGGAGATCGTTGGGGTTGATACTCGGCGGCATCACAGATTGGACACCGGTTACATTAGGACTCTGTACCTCCGACATTGGTGACTGATTGTCCACAACATTTTGATCTTGTTCGATGACATTTTGGACTACCATATCGGTGACCTACTGGATTCTATCTCGGTGACATCTGGCGCTGCCTACATCTCCCACCTCCTTCGTCTCTC